CCGATGTGGGTTGTTGCTTAGTTATGATCTCAGGAGTCAGCCTTTGCTTTGTTACCTTTTCGTTTGTGCTTTGTGGAATACATGGTTCACACTCAGGCACAGGCAGTGTGGTAAGGAGGTGATTTGGAAACCTGGCACATTGAGATGTGTATATTCATGTGTCCGGTGCAAAGACATTGATCGAAAGACCCTTGCCCAGTCCCGGGGTCCGGTATGGAGGGCCCAGCCGTGAGCAGCGAGCTCTCTGTGGGAGCGTCCAGGCTGTGGGGAGGAACCAGATGCCCGGCTGAGCCCCACAGACCCCGCTTCTAATTTAATCCTCATGACAGTCCTCTCCAGGAACGTAGACAGTTTAAGTAAATTGTAAAAACCCAGTAGAAGTCCTTTGGAGGAAGTCCTCGGGCGTGACCTTGCCGCAGCTTTGATGTGGTTAGCCCCGCCCTCCTTGAAAGGTTTCCTCATGTGGTCCTAAACGACCGTGTCCCCACATCACACACGTCCCTACCCATCCCCCGTCACTCCCAGACTGCTCTGCCTGCAGCCCCCAGTGCCCTCGCACAGTTCAGCCCAGTATGTTGGGGGTCTTTGAACATTTCCTCTGCTTTCCACCCGACAGACAGCCTCAAAGCAGTCTGTCTGCCCAGCGCAGGTGGTTCTCTCTCTCTCCAGTCACCAGACGGTGATTGACCTGTCTTTGTGGAGCTGGCTCTGGCCAGAGAGCACAGTGGCCCCTGTTTCAATGAGGAGTCAGTGAGGGGTCCCATGAAGAATCCCACTGAAGCAGCTGAGCTCGTCTGTTCCCTGGTCTCTTGCCCTGGGTTCACCCAGCAAACCTTCACTGCCGCCAGGTGACTCCGACTCACCGTGACCCTGGAGGCCAGGTAGAACTGGCCTTGGGTTTCTGAGTATACATCTTTGCAGAAGTCGACAACTTCATCTTTCTCCTGGGGAGCAGCTGGGGGTTTCAAACTACCAACCTTTCGGTTGTCAGCCCAATGCGTGACCCACTACTTCACCAGGCCTCCCTAGCAGTGCCCTTGAATAAGCCAGGGCACCGATTTTTCCTCTTCTTGAAACATTTTCCAACCCTCGTGCCCCCTTTTTCTTCCCCAAGAGTACTAGACTACTCCTGGGGAGTCTGGCATTAATTTAGCTAATATTCCGTAGCCTCGTTTTCTGAGGTCACGAGAGGGTCCCAAAGATGTGTCTAAGGGATGTTGGATGTCCCTCAGTGGAAGTGTCAGCCCGTTGCTCTTCTGGAGGAAGCGGCATTCGGTGACACATAGCAACAGCACTCTGGAGGGAAGGGAAGGGACGAGAGTCCAAACTCAAGCCTGGTCACTCTGGGCCTATTACCGCTAGTTTAAGCCTCTGTAAAATGAGGGTCACAAAGACGGCTGTGAGGGGGATGAGATTCGGTATGGAAGCTGCTTAGCCCACTACCTGACACAGAGGGAGCCGCCAATGATTGTTGACTTTGGTTGTTAGGAATGTGTTGCCCTTTTGAATGAGTAGCTGTGGAAGAGAAAAATAAATCACACGAGAGTAGGGGCTATTTTTCATTTATCAACGCATCAGAAGGCTGACTCCTGCCTGTGGAATAGAAGAATACGGTTCTTAGCATCTCCTTCCTTACTTGTGGTGTAAGGAGCTATCTAATGGAAGGTGTGGGGTTCAAAGCACAGAGCAGACCCAAGGAGTCACACGCTCAGCCTCTCTGTCACATCACACCTGGCAGTGGAAGCAGGTCCCTGGGGGACTAACTCCCTCATGGGTGTTGGAGTCAGGTCAGCCTCCGGCTCCTGGCGACCGTGTGAGCAGTAAAATGCTGGTCAGCCCTTTGATATCCCAGACTGGTTGTAGATTGTGCTGTTGGCATCCACGGAGTTTGCACTGATCTTCAGAAAGGAACCATCAGACCTTCTGAGTCTGTGTTAGTCTGGAAGCTACCCTGAAAACTGTTCAGCATCCTTGCAGCGCCCAAGCCTCAACTGGCAGATGTTGGCCGTACATGAAGCGCACTGCCTGGGAATCAAACCTGCGTCTCTTGCATGTTGTCGTTATTGTCTGGTGCCATTGAGTCATGCCAACTCTAAATGACAGAAGGAAACGCTGCCCCACCCCACGCCATCCTCACACTGCTATGTTTGAGCCCGTGGTTACAGCCACTAACTATGTCAATCCATCTTGTCAAGGGCTTCCACTTTGTTGCTGCCCTACCATTTTACCAAGCACGATGGCCTTTTCCAGGGACTGGTCGCTCCTGACAGCATGTCCACAGTAGGTGATACCAAGTTTCACCATCCTTGCCTCTAAGGAGCACTCTGGCTGTCCATCTTCCAAGACAGACTTGGTCTTGTGTTTGTTCTTTTGCCAGCCCGTGTACTTCAGTATTTTTTGTCAGCACAATCGTTCAATGCATCCGTTCTTCTGCAGTCTCCTTGTTCAGTGTCCAACTTTCCCATGCAGATGAGGTGATGAAAACACCATCGCTTTGGGTCTTCATCCTCAAAGTAACGTTCCTCCTCTTCCACTCCTTAAAGAGGTCCTGTGCAGCAAAGTTATCCAACGTGACGGGGCCTTTGATCTCTTGGCTGCCGCAGCCATCAGCATGAATTGTGGATCCACTTTCCTCTGTTTGTCATGATGTTACCTCTTGGTCCAGTTGTGGGGATTTGGGTCTTCTTTCCATTGAATTGTAATCCACACTGAAGGCTACAAACTCGGATCTTCATCAGGAAGTGCTTCAAGTCCTCCTCATTTTCCGCAAATTTATGTCATCAGCATATTGCAGGTGGTTAATAAGCCTTCCTCCAATCCTAATGCTTCATTCTTCTTCATATAACTCAGCGTCTTAATTTCACTCTGCATATGGGTTGAGGAAATAGGCGGAGAGGACACAACCCTGACGTGCACTGTTCCTGATTTTAAACTGAAGTTATTGCTGCATGAAGGGGAGCACTCCCTGGGCTGTGATACTGAAAAGGAATGGTGCTTCATTTGTGTATCTTGGTCTTACTGTATTTGTCTGCCACCCTTCCTGCCCTGTGCCTGGTCTTCGGGTGCTCTAGTACATGGCAGCATATAGGCCTTTGCCCTCTCTAGGCAGTGTTCAGTAGGGGGTGGAAACCAAGGGAGCCCCCTGCTTTGAAACCCATTGAGACGGGGCTGCGTCCAGAAAGCAACGCTAAGGGAGCTTTTGAGACAAGTGCCTGGGCGCTCAGTGCGACTCTGCTTTCTCCTTCAGGACCTACAGATAGCACACGAGAGGAGCTCCTACAATATATCCGGTGGCTGCACGGCCCTCGTTGTCATCTGCCTCCTGGGGAAACTGTATGTGGCCAATGCTGGGGACAGTAGGTAAGCAAATTAACCTCCCGGTTCTGACCGATTCCTAATGCTTTCTAGTAGTTTAAAACGTCACTATATAAAATGACTAGAATAGAAAAACAATTCTGCAAGTGTTGGAGAAGACAAGCCTCCTACTCCTGAACAAACAGGCACTTACAACAAGTTGCTGTGGAAAAGTAAGGGCAGTGCATGTCAGAAGGCCTTCGAAATGTTCATGGGAGAATTGAGCTAAAAGATCATGAACCGTTCCCTGAACTCTTTATATTCATAGCTTTACTGGCAAGGAATTCACATAGCCTACAACTGAGTCTTCAGTCATATGAAGAGTTGTACAATCATGACTGCTATCAGTTGTAGTGTTCCGTGAACTTTCTGAAGGCTCCTCATATCTCTCTGCCCTTCCATGGGTACAGTAAGTTGGGAACCGCTCAACAGACGTGAACAACAGCAATCTCAACCGGTTGTTTTCCAATTCGTGTTGCCCCCGAGCCTGCTTTTCTGTGGAAGTTTAGGAATGGCATTGACATATGAGAGAGATGAGGAGGAGGAAACAGGGTGGGAGTGCAGTGGGTATTTGGAGGGCGTCCCTGAAAAATGCCAGCAACAGAGCCTTCCTGCTGATTCCACCTGAGCTCTGTGGTTTTACGTTGTCCCCTCTGGGAGCAGGGGGGTTTTCTTTTACAT